TTTTTTTAATTTTGTGTACGTGTACCGTCAAATCAGATCTGACTGGTACAGGAGGATATTGCGCCTCCTTCTCCAGCAGAGCGTCTGGTGGATTCGAACCGTGTTCCTCTGGGATTGCAGTTCAGTTTCTTGCCACTAGGCCACCAGAGCTCCCCTGAGGGAGTATTTTAGTGTACTTATAGCTGGCAGTAAATATATTTTTGAAAAGTTGTACTAGTCCAAAATATTCTATTTTTTTAATATTCTACAGTTAAGTCAGGAAGTTCTTTTTTACATACTTAAATTCGGGTTATCCTAGTGGGTAGTACATTAACTATAGAAAGAAACTATGGCTTTGCCTTTCACAATCATCTTAGTAGACTTTACCATTCAAACATTCTCATTTTGAATAACATTTTTTTTGCAAATGACATTGAAAAACTACGTTTATAATATTTAAAATAGAAACATTTTATTGTATTTTAAAACTTTTTAAGGAAGAAGAAGTTTCTCCACAGCTGTTTACTTTCCATGAAGCTGTCTCACAAATGGTAGAAATGGAAGAGCAAGTGGTGGAGGATCATAGGGCAGTGTTCCAGGTAAAGTAACAGTTCCTATCTTCAAAATATTTCTTGACATACCTTCCAACTTTCCAAATTCTTGGAATATTCCACTGTTCTAAAAAATCATTATTTACGTGTTTTGTATTGTCAATCCAGGTTCTCACTGTGTAATCCAGCTTCCTCTGCCAGTTGCTTCAGTTCTGTCTAGGGGAAGCCCAAGATTATCCTCCCCAAATGTGTAGTGTATGATAAATCCCATTCCACATGTCATCTACAGTGTATAGAACTGTTTGCTTTTACTGATTAGTCTAAGATCTCAAGCTCTGTGCAGCTCTTTCTCATCCCCATTCAGCCTGGGCAGTGCTTTTCCTATTTGTTATACTTGTTAGTGCAGGAGCCAGCTATAGATATACATGGGGCATGCTTTGGGAATGATCCCAGTAAAGAGCTTCATGTCCCTCAAGATATTCTCTTACCTCCCAACATCAGCTGTTTGCTCTCTAAACCCAGAAATCTACTGGACTTCTGTCTGTCAGGGTCTTTATTAAGCCTCTCTGAGTCTGTGATAGATATCATACCTCTTGAGGTTTAGTTAGCGTTGAGCCAATTTGTAGTTGGTGTTACGTGCCGTTGAGTCGTTTGCAACTCATAGCGACCCTATGTACAGCATCCCTAAACCCTGCTCTATCCTGTGCCAGTCGCACTGCCTCTGACACACCCATCCCAATTACCCCAGTCACTGAATCAATCCACCTCATAGAGGGTCTTCCCCTCTTGCGCCGTCCCTCCACCCTCCCA